TGTGATGATGGTGTCACTGTCTTAAAGTGGGTGTGTGAGCTCATGAGTGCAAAAACACTTTTTAACATGAGTGTTACTAATTGGGACTATGTGCTAAAGCGTAGTCTAATGGCCTTCAAAAAGTTGATAAGGAGAAATTGCCAATAGATTATTATAATGCCAAGAAGATGTTGAGGCGTCTGGGTCTCGGGTATAAAAAGTATGATGTTTGTGTGAACAATTGCATTTTGTATTATGGAGAATATGAAAGTCAGTGTTATTTACAGTGCACGGTATGTGAAGAGCCACGATTTAAGCAGCGTGATGTGCATTTTGCTAAGCCTATACCAAGAAAGTCTTTGTGGTATCTTCCAATTATTCCTAGACTTCAGAGATTGTATATGTCTAGGAAAACTGTCGAGCATATGACCTGGCATTTAAATTATTATAATGAAAATGAGAAAATGTTTCATCCTGCATGTGGAGAGGCGTGGAAGCATTTTGATAGCACTCACCCTGAGTTTGCTAGTGAACCGAGGAATGTTAGGTTATGTTTGTGCACTGATGGGTTCAGTCCTTTTGGACATTCTGCATCTCCATACTCTTGTTGGCCAGTATTTGTGTCAGTTTATAACCTACCTCCAACAATATGCATGAAGCAAGAATATGTATTCCTTTCATTGATTATCCAAGGTCCCCAAAGTCCTGGAAAGAATATTGATGTAATGCTTCGACCACTAATTGATGATTTAAAGCAGCTTTGGTATTTTGGAATCCAAACTTATGATAGCTTTAGGCATCAATACTTTCTGATGAGGGCTGCACTAATGTGGACCATTAGTGACTTACCTGGGTATGGAATGTTGTCTGGGTGGAGCACACATGGTAAATTAACTTGTTCCTATTGCATGGAAAATTCGAAGGCTTTTTGGTTGGAACACGGTCAAAAGACATCATTTTTTTATTGTGATCGACAGTTTTTGCCACCGAATCATCCATTTAGAAGAAACAAGAATGACTTCATAAAGGGTCGTACAGAGAATGGAGCAATGCTAGAGAGATTGTCTGGTGATGAGATGCGTAGTCGCATCCATTGGCTGCCCGATGTACTATTTGGTAAGCCACCTTAGAAACAGGAAATCCACGGATCTGGTGAAGTGCACAATTGGGTTAAAAAGAGCATATTTTGGGAATTACCATATTGGCACACAAACTTGATTCGACACAATTTAGATGTCATACATTGTGAGAAAAACTTTTTTGATAATATCCTTCATACAGTAATGGATGACCCTATGACAAAAGATAACATAAATGCAAGACTTGATCTGGAATTGTATTATAAAAGGAAAAGTCTGCACATACCAAAAACAGGAGTGAATTCGGGTAAAAAGCCAAAGGCCACTTATGTTCTTAGTAGGGATCAAAGAAAATCAATATGTCAATGGTTGAAGCAACTTAAATTCCCTGATGGATTTGCCTCCAATATATCTCGATGTGTCAATATACAAGAGGTACGATTATTCGGTATGAAAATTCACGATTGTCACATTTTCATGCAAAGCCTTATACCAATTGCATTTCGTGATTTATTACCGAAACAAGTTTGGGAGCCACTTGTTGATATTAGTGAGTTCTTTAGGGCCTTGTGTGCTCCGATGATTCAAGTCAATGACATGGCAATATGGCAAGAAATGATAGTAGAAATCATTTGTAAGCTAGAGCGAATCTTTCCACCTTCATTTTTTGACAGTATGGAGCATCTTGCAATCCATCTTCCATATGAGGCTCGTGTAGGAGGACCGGTGCAATTTCGATGGATGTATCCATTTGAGAGGTAAATATAATTCAAAATGGTCCTTTTAAGGACCATTTTGAAACTTTTTTAAATTTTGAGGGTATATTTGATACAAACTTAGAAGTTGAGGTACCAAATTAGTATTTTAATAATAACTTAATTATATAATAATTCTTGGTGAATCAGGCTAATGCATTGTCTTAAGTTGACAGTGAAAAACAAGCAGCGTCCTGAAGCATCCATATGTGAAAGTTACATAATGTCTAAGGTCACAAATTTTATCTCTCATTACTTGGATGATGGGGTGTATAGTACAATTGATAATCCCATGAGGAATATTGTTGTTGGATTTGGTGATAATAGTGGCCTATCCATCTTTAAATGTGTTGGAAAACGTATTGGTTCCAAAATTGATAGATGTTGCTTGACGGTAGAGGAACGCAAAGTTGCTTCGTATTATGTGTTAATGAATTGTGAAGAATTGCGAGGATGGGTCAGGTAAAAAACCTACACTAATATCTTTAATATCTTCAATTTGTTATGTTAAGATTCATTGAATTAAAATACTACCAATATATAAAAAATTATTATTAAATTTTCTAGTTTATTTGAGAGTGAACAATGTCAAAATATGAATTCTCAACAAATTCAAGTAAAACGAGAGAGAGACCTTATGCCCTGGTTTGAACAAGCTGTGAGTATTTAATAATATGAATATTCAATTCCTTAACATATATATGTTATTTCTCTTCAAATGCATCTAACATTTTCTTTTGCAATCTATATATTTTAGGTAATTAGTGATGAGTTCATTAATGTCCATGAGCATATCAAAGGTTTATCCAGTGGTCCAAAAAATTATGTTTCTTGCTATAACGGATATATTGTCAATGGATTTCGATTTCACACTGCCCATTATGGTAGAAATAAGCGAACAATGAATTATGGTGTCTGTGTTGTCGGATCTATTGGTATTGAATCAGATTATGATTTTTATGGTGTGCTTCAAGAAATAATACAGATTGAGTATTATGGATCAATCCATCGACAGGCAGTTGTTTTATTCAAATGTGATTGGTACGAGATTCCTCTTGCTCAAGGGGTTCAAGTGGATCAACAACATCGATTAGTTGACATTAATCCTAGAAGATACCTTAGATCTTATGAGCCTTTCATTCTTGCTAGTCAGGCAAGGCAGGTTTATTACACACCATACCCATCTAGTAATCATGAAAGAAGGGGATGGATTGCTACACTTAAAATTAAAGCTAGGAGTATCATTGAGGCTTCTGAGAATAAAGATGACCAACAAGAAGGATTGGCACCATATTTCCAAGATGATGAGCCTCCTATTCCTCAACAAATAAATATTGATGACATTGCTTATGAACCTGTGCAATATTCTGATGGGAGGTTTATTGAAATACATGAATAAGCTGAGGTTGAGGAAGGGATTGGGGAAGAGGATGAAGAAGGAGAATGAGAAGATTTTGAGACATCAGAAGAAGAAAACATAGAAACATATGTTGAGGAGAATGATAGTAGTGATGAGTAGGCAATAATATTGAAACTATTGAAACTTATTATTATATTTATGGTTACTACTTGTTGGTACTTTTATAATTATATTAATTATATTATATGTTATTTATTTTAAAATTGTATAACGTCAATATTACTTTCAAGTTAATATTTGCTTATTTATACTTCTATACTTGTATTAGTTCGAATAAAATTTATACGTTTATGTTTTTATCATATTATTAATTTTATTTTTTTTGTTAATATTTATATAATTTTTTTATTTATATTAGTTATACTGTAAGTTATTCAATTAAAATATAATTTGACTATTATTTGCTTATCTATAGAAATTAAAACTATTTTTAATTTTTATTATGATATTAATAGTAATTTATTTATTGCATTTATTTTACATTGTATTAATGATTTATTTTGCATTTGTTATATTTATTTTACAGTGGATTGCTGTAGTTCTTGTTGCACGGAGGCTGTTGATTCCACCTAACCGCAACGGTGAAACCCATTTGACCCCCAAAGACGACTTCAGGAGGAGGTTCCAACTGATGTGGTTCTGGAGACTCCAGCTTCAGATGCTGATATACAGGCTGAGTCTCCCAGTGATGAGGATACACCTGTGGATACTCCCTAGCAGAGACAGGGACGGGGGCAAGCTAACCCCGTGCAGATGCCTACAAATGGGACGAAGATCCCATTAGAGCTAGATGAGTATGGTGGTTTGCCACAACAGGTCAGACGACAGATTGTTGTCCAGTTGCGGGAGAATCTCCCAGATGCTTACACAGCGTGGGGACA